CGGGATGCGGTTCGCCGAAGATAATTTTCTGCGCTCGTATCGGCGGGAAAATTCAGCCGAGCGATCGCAGATTTATGGATCTGGCCGTTGCCGAAGAATGCGACGCGGAAGAGATGCACGCGCGTGCGTCGCGCGCGGCCGTCCTCCCGTCAAGGAAGGCGGCAGCAATCTCAACGTGCGAGCCTCTCGCATACCGCGGACGCGTCCCTCGATTAACGATATTCCCTGGCGGCGCGGGCCGAACCGAGCGGGCGGGCGGAATGCGAAAATACGCCAGCACGCCTTCCGCGAATCGAAATTTTGCCAGGCGTCAGCCCCGAAGTAATACTCTGTCGTGGCAAAGCGGCCCCGAAGAAGGAACTCTGTTCGAACTCGTATCTCATTACGATTACGTGCGCGAGCGGGCGGAGGGGAGAGAGACGGGTGTACAAGCAGGCAGGCGGGGATCGCTAAGAATCGGCCCGGTGATTATTTCAACGAAGAAAAAGTCCCGGACGACTCTGATGAATCGCCAGAGGCGTCCTCCTCCTGCCCGGTGTCAGCGACTCTCTCTTTCTCCCTCCCTCTTTCCTTCTTCTTCCTTTCTCCCGTCCTTCGTACGCTCGTCTCTCTTTCTCTCCCTACGCCATCCAACTTTCTTCTACAACCACCGACTCGGCTGGTTCGTCTGCTCGATGAACGCGAACACGCGAGGGACGGCTCCGGCGCGGCTATTACAATAACCGGTGTACGCGGTTTCCACTCAAGGTCGCGACGCGAAGGAACCGGGCGAGAGCTGATCCTTTCGACGAGGAGACTCGAGGATTTCCATTCTTTCGAGGAGAGTCCTTCGCGAGCGAACGATCGAGAGTCCTCCGGCGCGAACGAAATGCGATTGCAATGCGGTCTTAGACAGGAAACGACACGAAGGAGATCGCGATGCCGATCGCGCTGACAGAGTATGCATGAACGATGCCGAAGAAAGAGAGATAAATATTTTGAAAATATTTCACGATTAGACACGCGCGTTAGTAAACACAGTACATTCTTTGCATTTCATATATTTCGTATGTGAATTGTCTTAAATTTATTTTCGCGATACATTAATTTCAAATGATGGAGAATGATGCCAAAAAGAGAGAGAGAGAGAGTGAGAAAAATAAACATTTTAAAAATATTTCATAATTAGTCGCGCGCACAGTGAACCATTTGCATTTCATGTATTATGTATGCGAGTTTTCTTAAGCTTATTTTTTACGATACATTCATTTCAAATGATGACAAACGATGCTGAAGAAAGAGACAAATGCCACGATGGAAGTAATGCAGCAATCAAGCAATCGAGCGTTGGCGCATCCAATGCGCCACTTGCATCATTGCTCTTGCACAATTTTTTAATTTTAAATTATCACGCTGTTAAAAAAATTGACGCAGCTGAAAGCTACGTTGAAGAAAAGATTAAAAAAAAAACAAGAATACAAGAATCATTTATCTATCTAAAAAAATCTGCATCTTTAATGCTCTAAGCTCATATCTTTGATAAGCAGCGTAGTTTAATCGTCTGAGTTTTCTTTAGATATTCAAGCTTCGACTCGCGGGTGCAATGACGCAAAAATTACGAAATGTGTACTCGAATTCACTTTACAATCTTAATAGACAAAGTCGTCGAGCAGAGCGGCGCGCATTCGGCTTCCAGCGGTGCGTTTAGCTCGCACTTGCAATCATGCGAATGACATCGAGGAAAAAGGGGGCTAGGAAAGGAATATTCCCGATGTGACGGCGCGATACGCATCGCATTCCTGCACGTTGCGAGACACTCGCGATATTCGCGGAGAAATCTCTTTATTCCGCGGTGACTGCCACAATGCGTACCGTTACGCGCGAACGCAAAACCATATTCGCGTAACGGTAAGGTCGAAGAAAAGGGAGGAAGAGAGAAGCCGGGGTATGTGTTCGCGCTCGCGTACGCAGGTAGCCAGGTAGGAAAATAGGCTCGTCATCGGGATTTGTCTGGGTGTGGAATAAACCCGCGCAAATCCGATCGGAATCGATTCGCGACGCGTGCACGCGACCGCGACGTTTTTCGAAGTCAGCGATACGCGATGCTTCAGCAAACACGCATCGATATCACCGGTGCGAATAGAATATCAGTGAAACATCTGTTTTGTGTTTTCTGTGTAATAATATTACTCGCATCCCCGCAATATTCGTAATTTTCTGTCACTGTGTGCTTACCAAATTTTGCTTATTATTATTTTCTTAATTGTGGCTTTTTAATTAAACTCCCTACTTTCAATTAAATAAAATTGGAATTTCAGGCAATGTAAATAAATTGCTCGAGCAATATACAAGAATATGCACGTGGCCGAAGAAATGTCCCTTCGACAGAAACTGGTTTTTATTGCTATACATAAAACCTGTTAATATTTTTCGGTATCTTGTTGATCTGACCAGAATTATGCGATATAGATTCATATCTCGATGTTATCACGAGTCGTTCTGGGATTCGCAAAAGCCGAGGGTTCTCAAAGCGGCGGCGTCGGCGGCGACGCCGCGATGCAGCGGGCACGAAGATGCCCGGTGTGGATAAGAGTTCCACGGAAGAACGCTCAATTTTATGGAACCTGTTCCCACCGTACGTGCGTGTCCCTCGCGCGAACGAGTTTACTTAGGAGTGTACGTACGTTTCACGCTTCTGCGGAGCCCGCTCGTAAATTAACATCGCGCGCTCATAATGTTCGGTCCTGACCATTCGACCGGGAAATCCGAAAATCCGACGAGTATCTTCATTAAAGACGCAACGCACTCAACGAATCAATCCGATGAGATTTACTCGAAGAAAAATGAGAGACCTTTAGCTTGGAAATATACGAAATGTTTGAAAAATGTTGAATGACATCCCTGAGTATTTTGTAAGGAATTTGTTGTTTTTTTAAATTAAGGAATCCATCATCAGAAAAAATATCGAGAAAAAAAAGATATTCTCTGAATTACTCGATTTACATGTTTCAACGACATGAGATCAATCAAAAGATAAAATTTAATATATTTTGTTTAATTAATGCAATATAAACTATCAATTGCTGTGTTTCAGTAGAAAAATAAATTTTCTTAATTCGGGTATTTTTTAAATTAAATTAATATGCAAAAAATCTTCAGGAAATATGACTATCAAATTAAAGTAAAATTAAAATAAAAGATAAAATTACTACTATTATTATGAAAAGAACAAATGTTTTCTATCTAATTCTTATTTCTTTCTTTTTGATAAAAAGTATTAATTTAATATGTAAGATATAAGTATCGCGTTTATATATGATTTCATAAGAAGTACAAGTGTAAGAAGCATTGTATTTATGTGAAATCGATCTTCAGAGAATATACGATTGTCAAATTAGCAAAAAAAAATAAAACGAAGCCGAGTAAACGATTAGCGTCTGCCAAAGAGTCGACGAAACTTTCGTAGGGCTGCTGTGGGAGGGCCGCGTCGGACACGATGCGAGAAAAGGGGGCGAAAGGGAGGTCAGCAGCCCCCTTTCGCTTCGCTTGTTCTCTCTCTCAGGACAGGGGTGAGTGACTCACGTTCCGCCGGCCTCGACGCCGTTCGTCGGGACGCGTACGCCTACCCTCCAAATATTGATTCGCTCGCTCGAGGAACGCACGCGTCGCAACGCGTGTCGTATCGTCGGGCTTTCTCGTCGACGCTTTCGTGTAGACCTTTATTTTAGGTCTTCGCCCCCTTGAGTCGAATTTCCCTCGAGACTTAGCGTGTCTCTTCTCGAGGTAAAATCCCGCGAAGTCCTTCGAGAACTATTTCTTTTTCGGAATTAAAGAGAGACTTTTATCAATTGAAGAAGTAAACAGAAGTCAAATAATTTTTAAATCGTATTTCGAATACAAAACAAACATGCTTGAATATTTAAAATGGTTGCTGCGAATTGTGGACCAGTTCTTTGAAAACTTTTTAGTTTTCGGAATTAAACGATTCCGACTCAACAAAACAGTGTGTATGAAAGCAAAAGTAGAATAAATCAATAATTTGTAAGCGTTTTAAATATAAAGCAGATATGCTTAAATATTTAAAGAGGACTCCGCGAATTATAGATTTATTCTATTCTCGTCTTGAACACCCTAATTTTAAATTTAGCAGAATATTTTGCAAACTATGTACATAGTTATTTTTTAGAGTGACGTTTCAAATAAAGATAAAACATGCTCTAAATTTCTGAGATTTGTGTAAGGTACATTTTCTTTTCATTCTTCTTCTTTTCATTTGATTCATCCTGTTTTTTGTTAACGCGAGTCACGAATGTAGTTAATATAAGATAGTTCAAGATAATTATATAGAGAAAAAGTCTTATTTCTGAGCGATGAAAACATAATAACAGAGAATCATGGAATTGTTATTAAAATTCTTTTCAGTTTGAATAATGATTAATGAGAATAAAGTATAAAAATAGAACCCTTTCCAGTCAGCATTTTCGTTTTTTCGATGAACATTTATCAAACAAAAAATAATTTTTTAACTGCGTATTATATGTCATGTGCCGTGCAACAAGATAATAATATGCAATTTACTTTTAATTATTAAACAGCTAAAAAAATGAAAACAATACAAACAACAATTCTAAAAAAATCTTCAAATTCTCACATTTAAAAAATGACAGATGAATTTTTTATACTTTTTCGCGCAATGGCTCGCATTCTCGGACTCTCGTATTTTTCTACAGACCGATTCAGTTCTGACCGACGCACCTGTCATCGATTGACAGTGCGCGTTTTTCTCGTCGAGAGAAAAACCACGCGGGAAAAAGCGGCTCTCGCGATAACGAGCCGGGGTTCATTAACCAGCACGGCGGTGGTGGCAATTAAAAAGGTCGCTTTTCTTGCGTGGGAAAGTATTTAGCATCAAGGGAACTAGAAGTAGAAGTGGAAGCAGAAGAAGAAGAAAGAGCTTAGCGTACACGCTCGTGGCGGCGCAGAAGAGGAGGAAGAAGAGCGGCGTCGCAGAGGTCACTCACCATCCCGCCAAGGTCGCCGTTAGGAATCCGTCACATCTCCGGGCCAAGTTCGATTTTGTCACAATCGATCTCGGTATCACCGGCACTCAAAATAGCGATACTCCTCGGCCGGCGCGAAATTTCAGCTGGAGAAATCGCACCGCGCGATGCACCGTCTCACGTCAGCGTCGCGACTGCCGCCGCCACCGCTCCACACGTGTGCGTCCGCTCGCTCCGATTCCACAAGCGCACGCGAGTGGTTGTGATGCGCGCGTGCGCGCCCTCACACCTGTACGCCAAAGGTGATGTAAGCAAAAGTCTCGAAGCCCTCGTCTAAGATTCACAAAATCGAAGCCTCAACCCGTTTCTACTTTCAATTTTTTTCAGCGATTAGTAAATTTGTATTATAATTATAATTTACGTGATTCTGTATAGTTTAATCTATGATTTTATGTACCAACATGAGATCACATACGTAACGATTATTGTAGCTTGTATTTTGATTAAATACCTAATTGAATAATTACTGAGCTGCAATTGCAATCTTTTACGCAACTCTTAATTTAATTAAATTCTTAATTTTTGTCGAAAAAAGATCGACAACTTTGTTACCGGATGATGGGATCTGGCGTAGGGATCATTCGCAGTTTAATGCCGATCCTGCTCTATTCATTCTGTTACGCGTGTATGCGTACGTACGCGACATGACTGTAACCACTGGAGGGACGACTATACACGCTCGACGCATCTCGCCGATTCCGTTCAGTGACACGTTGCGACGTAGATGAAGCGAATCGAAGTCAAAAAGGTGTTTTCCCGCGAACGAAGTTTTCCGCTCGAAAAAGCGATCGCGTTGAAAAATTGCGAGTGCGAAAAAAACGAAAAGAAACGCGCGCACTGTGCCGCCAACATTTGTGTGAAATTCTCTCTTTCTCTTTAGCAGGAATCTGCTATACAAGGTGTCGAAAAATTATAGATGTAGAGATTGAGAAGATTTTCACGTGAATTGACTCGAAGAAGCTTTCTTTTTTAATTAAAAGTGATGAAGATTGATTTTTCGCGAATGAATCTCTATACGTGCTAATAAATGGCGGTTGATAAATTTATATCCTTCGCTTCATTTCAAGCAAATTTTAATTAAACAGAGTTTTTATAATGCTTTATAATGTCAAGATTTTCAATGTAAAAGCTTAAAGACATGTAGAGAAAGACAATTTTGAAGAAATTGATAAAAAACACTTGTAGATACAATTTATATCTGCAGTTTTGTGATTTATAAATAATCATTTATAAATGAGTTTTATTACCTGCGTGTGTGTATGAAGACACCTGCCGATGTCGGTTGAGTTTTTGAAATGTACATCCGTTTTTTAGTATCTTCTGTAAGATGTGACAAACAATTGATTTTACGATTATTGATTTTACAATATAAAAATGTGAGACAAATCTTGGAAAAAAATATAAATTTGCAAAAGTATGATTAATATATAGAATGGAATAATGTGTTATGTTATACAGTTGCGAGAAGAAAAATTTCAATCAATTCGAAAGAGAAAGGTGCGACTCGTAACATCTGCTTGTAAGTTGGTGCGTTGATGTGTAGGGCGCGCTAGCTCGTAGACGATGATTTTTATCATCTTTACCTACATTACATTGTGTAATAAAAATATCTTTTTATAAAAAATTGTGCGTAAAAAATAATTTTGTAAATTTTTCATAATTTTTCAGAATATTGTATATCTCTACTATTTTTAAATACAAATAATTCATAAAGTATAAGAAGTGACAGCTTATATTATAAAAAATAGAATAATAGTTAATGATTCAAGAAAGATTCATTTCATCGTTTTAGTCCAGAGATTCAATCTATTAAATTCAATAAATCTGCTGGTTGAAATCATTGCAATTACACATGTCCACACATTCATTCTTATTAAACGCGTCAAACACGTGTTACCGGTCCGGTGTAAATTTTTCTTTTGGAACATTTATCGTTAATGGTATGAGAGTTTTAATTTGCCGATAGCCCCCGAGCTGAAGAACCGGAATTCACATCGGTCACGGAATATCGCGAGCGGAAACAAGATACGGTCGACGATACGACGCGAAGTTAATTTATTATCAACGATTAAGAGGTAGACTGGTGATTAACGGCGTAATTTGTAGGCATGACATTCTCCCGTGAATAATTTAGCCGAATGGAGCAGAAGGGGCAGCAGGATCGTCGTCCCGTTAAAGGATCCGCCTGTCCGAAGTACGTGATCTGCGATTGTCCCGCGTTGCATTTGAGCGACGCGGAAAAATGCCGCAGAGTAAATGCGGATTACACGGTGGAGAAATTGCGACAGCTCGTGTCGGATTCTGTCACCAGAGATCACGTCGCGCGGATATCGCGACTTTTATGCGATTATCTACGCGAGATCGGCGACGAGGGTTACGTATCCTTTAATATCTTTTAGTGAAAATCATCGAAGCCATCCGGATTCTATTTAAAAAAAAAGTGCATTAACATTATGCTTACTTTTAAAAATTGCATTTGCGATTACAATCGCGATAAATATTTTTGCGGGCGAAATTTATCGAAGCTTGTTAAATTTTGTTAAAAAAGCAAAAGGTGCGTTAACACTGCACGTGTTTTAAAAAAATTACATTTGTGATACAAGTTGCTTGCATTAAATGCCTCGATTCTTTCGAAACTTTCCAATCGTTCCAAAGTGCGTTTCCTTAAAGACGTCTTTCAGCCAGTCAAGCACCTGCCGGCCGTAATAAAAGTGCTAGAGTTTCTAGCCGTGAAAACCGAAGAAGTCGACAACTATCGAGTGCATCTGGACCGGATGCTACAGTTATGCAGCCGGCCACCTTTACTAAAGCGGACTTCCGAGAATCTCGTCAGCTCCGTCGTTATGGAGCGCTACTTTACATCGCTGGGTTATCTTCTAACGATTTTGCGCAACAAAGAGGACATCCAGAGGATTCACGACGCTCTCGACGGCTTATTAATTGGAAAGAAACTGGCAAATGTCGCGGCGGTAAAATTAGATTTCCGTCGGCGCGCGGCGGAGAATTCCAGGCTGCCGATTATCATAGTCGAGCTGCTGGAAGTTGCTTTGCCGAAGTTGTATCCAAAGATCTTGGAAGTAGCTTTCACACTTGCTTCGGTTTCGCACCGGTGTTGTAAGTAAATCGAGAACTAAATTATAATTGTAAAAATATTGCAGATTGTCGCATATTCTTTTGTCGTAAACGTCTGTTTTCTTTCAATTCAACTCGAGCCAGTTTCTCGCCCGGAGAGCATTTCTTTCAAGTCTTCGAAAATGTAATTCAAGACAAAGAGAATCTTCGGGCGTAGCCCACAGCAAATTATCATACTGAACGCTTGCGTACTGAGCGCGTAATTTATTCAAATATTATTCCAATGGATTACGCGGACGTTAAAGCGCAAGAGTTGGTCGCTAGGACGCTTCCGGCGTTGCCTGTAAGTTAGTGGCATTTATACATTTTCAAATAAAGGTCACAGAATGCTGGAGGCCAACGTGCTAAGTACGCTGCTCATCAGAATGGACCTTCCCTACGCAACGCAGCTGCGTTGCACCAGACCACTGGACATACCGCTCAAAGGAGAGGAATATTCGTGGGATACCATGCTCTTGATTATGAATCTTCTGTGGAGTCTAATGGGATCTGTTTTACCTCTAAAAACGCCACCTGAACCTCTGAAGAACCTACCATCGCTCAAGAAATGCGCCATGTGGTATTATTAATTAATAACACGTTCTAATTAATAAATAATCTAAAAATGCTGCAGAAAAAAAGTAATCATAGAATAAATTCTCCTTATAAGCGCATTATTTTTAAGCTTAGATATATTATTTTTTATCATATTCGTAAAGATATTGCAAATTATTGCATGTTTTTTATGAATATTTTCTTTTAATTCCACAAGTTTCTTTAAATTTTAATTTCTTAAAGTTTTTTTCTTCAATAAAATATATTTATCGTATTTTTCGAGGCTGTCAAGCATAAAATATGCGATTTCTGACGCAGTACAGGGGTTTAAGATATTCCTTCAAGAGACAGATACTTCGCGGTCGGCACTGCGCCATCAATTTGAGAATCAGAAACGATATCGCGGCATTAATCCTCGCCGGAATCGTGGCTTTACCTTCGTGGGATCTCGCTAGCAGTGGCATCGCAGAGGATATCGTTAATCTTTTACCCGCAATCAAATCCGACACTGCCAAAGTATGGACTGAAAACGTGAAGTTCTCCGACAGTGAAGAGGATCTCTTTTTCAAGAGGATTTTGCTAATGATCGTTGGCCATCTTGCCGAGATCGACATTTATGTCTTCGTAAGTTATTAGTTTCTTCAAGAAATATATCAATCGATAGAAAAACTTTTTAAACGCCCAGATAATGCAGAAAGCGATGATTATGCCGATTATCCTTCGAATCATTACGTCCTGCATGAACGATAAAAAGAATAAAGGATCTTCCTTGTCGGTGATTCTCTTAGAGCATACGATGTATATTTTATCCTTATTGGCGCCACAAATAGCGGCGGAATTTGTGAAATGCAACGGCACATCCATGTAAAAAAAAGGACACAAATAAAAAATTCATAGAATTTCAGAGCAAATATAATATTGTTGAAATCTCATAGATTATTAATGATGATTGAACAACTTTTGAACGTGGAATTTAACGAGCATGTTGCGATGATTTTTTCGAGAACAATTTGCTCAATAATACTAAAAGACGAAACTGTTTTGATGGAAGACTTTCGGAAAAACGAAATGATACCATTGTTAATTAGTAAGATATTACAAATAATTTATAATCTCTAAATTCTTAACTTTATAACAAAAAAAAAACTACACACACAAGAATCAAGTGCGAACATGAGAGTGCAAAAGATATTACAATTCAATACAGAATAATACTGCAAAAATTTGACGCCAGGCTCAGTCTTTTTTCTGTTATTTTAAATATATTTTCTTTTCTCAAATTTTAGAATTAACCAGTAATGTAGTGGGTTTGGCTAAGCTCACAATGAGAAAGCAACGTATATTAACATTGCTGCTGGTAACCTTAGAGGGTCTCCTAAAAAAACAGACAGATGTTCAACAGATGTACGGGCAGCAAAGTATCGAGTTCGTCATGGAGATCTTAACCAAGTGTTTGTGTCAAAGGAAAGAGGACTCCCAAATAGATCAACGGTGATGACAATTTATACAAAAGTCTCTGTTACTCTTATTATTATTTCCTGTTCAGCTAACTAGTAAATTATAGGAACTTTATCAATCAACAAAGTTTTATAAACATCGCTAAATTAGAAAAAATTAAAATAGAGATGAAAGAAAAAATATGTTCTAAATAAATTTCTCATTATATTCTTACTTCGATAGACTCTTGCTAGCGATAGGTTGTTATATTTGGGAGTGCATAGCACGGTGTCCTGCGAAACTTCAAGCTTTTCTAAAAAGCGGCGGACTCTATTCCATGCTCGATATCCTTGAGATCACGAGTTATCCTGTAAGATGCCTGTATCTCGGTGCGCTGACCGATATATGCGATTGCATTTTCTGCGGGCCATTTTTCTGCACCTGGAGAGGCGCAGATAAAAAGACAGAATTCATGTCCTTGCTCGCGATTATCTGGCGAGAGGAAGAAGACCGAATTGGCATACAAAGACGCGCCGACGGCTCCATAGCAGGTGCAGACTCGCAAATCACGAAATCGCGCGTAGTTCTCTTCAAAGTGTTTAACGTTTTTTATTCGCAAAATCTTGCGCAAAACATAGAATATTTTTGATAATTAAAAAACTTGCATCTAACAGAAACAGAATAAAAATTTTGCAAATATATTACAATTAAATTCGTTCACTCTTTTAGATCCTGAATTGCCTCAGATGGGCATTAAGCAATGGACAGACACCTATTGTTCAAAACTCACTGCAGGCGACAGTCCTACTATTGTCGACATGTTCGGTTCGACGCGATCGAAAATTTTTAGCATTCTGAAAATCATTGAGAGAGACGGGAATAAATACGAAACTGCCAAGAAGCATTATAAAGTATTACTCCACGAGCTGCCAACAAAAGATCGCGTAAGCTCTACTTCAGGTCAAAATCATGATGATAAATGAAGTCGGACGATCAAATTGAGCTCGAAAATCGGATATAAAATTATTTAACTATTTTTTGACGAAATAGACGGCTAGCTAAATAAAACAATACATAATAATTCCAAATTAAATATCATTAAATAAATTTTAAAAAATTTCTAGTAAAATTCTAGTTGAAATTCTAACTTCTCTTAAATTATTTTTATAGGAGAAATGAAATGATAACAAATCTTGCTGTAACATTTCTTTTTCAGATAACGTTTTGCTGCGTCGATATGTATCTACGGTTGAAGCTCGGTCAAATGTGGACGGAGCTCAGCAAATACCTGGAGCAGGCTGACATCACACCGTTAAGTATAGACGCCTACCTGATCACTCATATAATGCAATGGCACCGATCATGGGGTATACTGATCGAGGAGCGCCAGAAGAAGCTAATCGCGACCGCTAAGCGCACAGAAGAAATTCTAGAAAAAGACGAATTGGAGAGAATACGCGATTCCAAACTGGCCCCAACTTTGGAAGCGCTCGATGAGGTGGACCGTATTCGCCGCACGACCGATAGATCGTACATGTTATGGAAGAAAAATCGACAGAGACAACAAGTGAACGCGGCATTGTCGTTTCCACGCGACGCTGATGCCGAGCATTGTCACCGAACGTTTTCGGACAAAGCGAACGTTACGGTAAAATTGCAGAGTTTATGGAACTTCAATTTAGCTCTAATCCTTCGTGATTTTATGTCAAGCTGGATTCGATAGCGTTTTATGATAATCCCGCGCACAGTTTTCCATATAGTTAAAGTTAGGAATGTTCAATTAGCGAATTATGGTCTTCTAATAACCATATAATTTTCTAGATAATGGTAATTGATCATTACGCTCATTTTAATCTAGTATAATTAATATCGGCTTCTTCGTCGAGATAATTCGGACTACAAAGGATTAATTTTCATTTCAAATAGTCTCTCCCTCTCCCGTTTTAATATACCGTGTTTAACTATATGAAATCCTATACGGATCTGTAATTTCGAAATAATTTAGAATGTGATAAAATAAGTTATATGTGTTAGACATTAAATTTAAATTATTTTTTCTATTTAGGTGACTTAATTTTCGACAAAGCTTAATCGTCCAACATTTAAAATAATCAGATTTTTTAAAATTTAATCATGGAAAAAATAACTACGTAATCACGAAAAAATATCCAGCAATATTATGTACTTATTCGAACGCTATAGTTATTGTCACGCGATTTTTTTTCTTAGGTTATTCTCGGACAACATCAATCGATCCACAGTTCACAGTTGGGGAGCGCAGATGGCCTCCCGGAATTATGTCTAGTATCACCTCCGGATTCACCCCGTGAAGTAATCTTTTCTTTATTCAACGGTGCTTGCAGTGGTTCTCCTTTTCATGAATATCGGCTCGCAAACGAATATCTTATCGAAAATCTCAATCAATAATCTATTCATGTTACAAAATATAATAAATATTTAATAAAATATACAGAATTAAAGAGAGAGAATTATTTGCAATAACATTATTTTGCAACACAAAACAGTTATCTTGCTGTGATAGAGCAGTGATCTTTCTTGTCGGTGTATCAAGAAATATTATCTTTTGCTCAATAATAATTGATCTAATTTTAAGTAAGCATCAGCACGTTTCAAAACAAATAAACTCAGAAAAAGAGCAAAATCTCTTATTTTATATTATCTTATCTATCATCACTATCACTTTTATCTCTGTATATTACTGCATTTTCTTATCTCTTCATTTGTGTATATTATTATCTTTAATCTTTCCATCTTCCCATTTCCAAAAATAATTTTTCGCATCAAAATCATTATTTTGCAATGCGATTCCAAAAGACATTTGGACTTGGCGCGTAAGAAACGGGCGAACGATCGCACGAGCGTACTATTGGCTCGCTCATCATCTGGTGGCGAGTCGATTTAGCTGTAAAACCATCTAGATTATCTCGAGGCTACGGAGTGGGCGAGAGCGATTGGCGAATACGGCGAGCGGCTAGTGAGAGCGAGCATGCCGTTCGCGTCGCAAGCGAGTGCCGTCGCCGTGGTACGCTATCCGATGGTACCGGTTTAAAGCGAACGTAAAACCGAAGAAACAGCTTCTCTCACCAGAACTGTCGTCGTCGATCGTTTCGCTCGCGTCAGTGTGTCCCGTCGCGAATCGCACTTTTTTTCCGTTCCGGAAGCTTCTTCCGCGTCGCGGCAAGCGCGAAAACAGAAGGAAATTACATTTTTCTTTTTTTTTTTATTTTACTTTCGAAGCAGACTCTCGCGAGACAGTTTGTTCGCGTGGCGACAACGCGTTTTACCCCTTGCCGTGTCTCGTCCCATTGTCAACCCTTGTAAATTTCCAGCCAGACGTTCCTTGTCTCCTCGCCCTCTCTGTCTAAGGTTTCCCTACAACACCCGCGCCTTTGTCCGTCTCCGTCTCTCGCTCCGTCCTTCTTCATCCTTTGCCGTTGCCGCCGAGAGTTCTTTCGATTCGTCCCTCGCGTCAGCAACCAAAGGGGATACGCGAAGTGTAATTTTTGCGCGATACGTCCCCCTCGGAAGCGGAAGGACGAGACGAAAGAAAGAGATCTTTTTCGTCGTTATCTTTTTGAATAATTATGGCGCGCGAGGAGAAACGGTGGTGCTTTTTTAACGGTGCGAACAGACAGCACGGACCGACGCGAATCTTGCTGTTGCCCGTCATCCTGTGCACGCTCCTGATCGGATCCCTAGCGCACGGTGAGTGTACACGTGTGTGTGTGTATGTGTGTATATATATATATATATATATATATATATATATATATGTATATGTGTGTGTGTGTGTGTGTGTGTGTGTGTGTGTGTATTGCGAGCATGGGCGCCTTTCGATAACCTGTTGCGTATTACGGAGGATTCTTTTCGGAACGGCGCGGAGAGAAGGCGCGACGCGAGACAGCGTGAACGGCGGCCGCGTTCGCGTGAAAAGGAGGAGCGCGCAGAAGTGAGCGAGAGGGCGGTGTTTATTTTACGCGCCGGGACAAAGTCCTTTAACATTTTAAATCGACATTTCAAATTGAATATTCACGGACCCTTTCGCGTGCATCTATGAGGAAACAGAGGAAAAACGAAGACCGCAAAAATTCTTCACGAAATATCAGAGGCGCCCGAGCGCGTAGAGCAAGAGGGAAGAGAGAAAGGGAGGGACGAGAGAAAGGAAGAGAAAAAATCCGGTCGCAAGACCAGAGAGCCTGGATTTCCTTTCCTCGCCCTCTCTTTCTCAACTCCATTCATGATTACTACGCATTTCCGACGACGCTTTGTCGTCGTCGTCGTCGTCGTCGTCGGCGCGCTGCGCGCGATGCAACGGGATCGGGAACGCGCGTCGTCGTCATCGTCGTCGCCGGAATAAGGTCGCGTTCGTTCACTCGCTCGCTCGCGCTCGCGACCGCAGATGCTGACCGACTGTATTCTACGTCTGTAGGGGTAATAATAAGTCGCGAATCTAATGGAATAATATTAGTATTGCGAAGTGAGAGAAATAAATAAAAGAAATGTGATAATTAGATGCTTTAGAATGAATCCTGGGATATTAAATTACGAGTAAATAGATTGTGCTCTTGCGGAAATCTTGCGAAATGTATCGCGTGCCTTAATTACACGATGGAGAGATTTATTAATGCTAATAAAGACCGTAAATTAATTTCAGAACAATGTTTCGTCGCGAGTTTATCGTCCCGTATTCCTAAAATTTTTTAAATATCACACTGTCTTAATTTTAAAATATCTGTAGGTTTTAGAGTTAAATCGTTGAAAAAGGACGATTCTTCTCATATAAAACTGTAAATAACTATGCTACTATGTTTAATATACGAGTTCTGCCCCGAGTTCTTCGATTTAATGAGCTGTTTTTCTACTGAAATGACGAGTGTCACGCGACGTCGTAATTATTCCGTTGTCGGAATACGTCGATTCGATCGCTCGTTAGAATTCTACTTTATGAATGATATTTTTTATCCCTCTCCGACGGGATTATTGTCCGCGGTTGCAAATTTCTCAATATCGAGAGAAAAAGAAAAGGAAAAGAAAGAAAAGAAGTGAGTCCCTTGTGTGGGCGCACGTGTGTGACGATTGCGCGACTTTTTTTGCTCCGGTTTTCGTCTCTGGGAGTAACGGTACGACGAATTCGTGAGTGACAGCTCGGTAAGGTTATCTCGGGTCAGCCCCCCACATACCTTTGACGCGCGTGATTTTGCGATGCGAAACTGCTGCTATTCTCTCGGGGCAACGTCGCTTCAGTTTGCTCTTTTATTCGCCGCGTATCTTTGACAGTCGGGAATCGCAGGAATTGCGACTATTGTCGGTGCGATTGGAATTGGAAAAACTCCGACCATTGTTGATATTATCGGAATTGTTGGTATCATCGGAACGGTTGCGGAATGTCAAATGACCACTGACTTGTTGATATCGTTCGTTAGAATCCCGACTGCGAAATTCTACATGATTTTGTACATTAGTACTTGAATCCAACCATTCGAGTTTCCGTAGTGAATATTAGGGAATTATCTTTCGTTTTTTTTATGCGCATATCTTCTCGCATAACATTTTTAATTAATTAAAAAAAACCATTTATAATTTAATTTCATTATCCACCAAGTTTTAAATTAATTAAAAATTTATCACAATTCTAATTGCGTATGTTATAATTTTTCTACCAAGTGCAAAGCATCTGTATATACGAAGATAACTTTGCAGCTGCACTCTTTTTATGCTGACATACATTTTTTATTCTGACGAATGTTATTTAACACCCGGATATCAAAGTATTAACTTCCACAATATCTTCTTTTTTTCGTCTGTAACAATATTATTCCGCATTTGTACATAATTTTGTCGTTCATATGCGGTAGTTGATATGTACACACAAAAGCGCGATTTGGCACGAACGAAAATTTGTGTTGTGTGAAGGCAAAATTAAAGAGGAGAAAGAATATGCTTTGAAAATACTGTTGGAGAAATATTAATATCGCATGTGTTCAAAAATGCGCACTATTTAAATATTTAATATTAAAACTACTTATTTTTCTTTACTATAACAATCACTTGCGGACTATTCTAATAATTAAGAATTAATTAGCTCTTACGGCTATAACAAATTTAATATGTTATTAATTATTTTCGCAATAATATGTTTCTGTCGCCAACCATATAGTTAGAATACCTATAAAAATATGGTTGGCGCCAAAAAACACTATAGATTACGGTTACTACAATTATTCTTTTCTCTCGGTGCAAAAATAGAATTTTTTATCACTTTAAAAAAATCTTAGTAAAGAAAATAAGACTCTTCCTGTAATATTTTTATCGTAAATTATATCTATAAAAAATTAATGCAATTATGTAATATTATTGCGATTTGCTTCGAAATGTAAAGTAGAAATGTCTCATAGTAAGAGAATCAATAATAAGAAAATATTTTATATCGCGTAAACGGTGGTTCCGTGTTCTGCAAGTATCATTACGTGACACAACAAAGTTACTGCATCTATAATGCATACGACGGCCAAGTATTTTGCGAAAATCGATAGATTAGTTCGTAATGTGACACAGCACACTATATCCTCATATCACACCGGCTATCATTACGTCAAGCACAAAGTAACACTATACAAAGACCGGGACTGCATTAAAGTCTCTTCTTTAAAACGAATTCAGCGTTGGATTCATGTAAAATCTTTCATCTTGCGAGTTTCTCATCAAGCTTATAATATTTCATGTATTCAGAAAAAAAACATTTCGAGATGCTTATTAGATGCATTAATTATTTCTTAAAAAATTATAGAAATTAAAATTTGTTTCAACTGTTAAATTTACGTATTATATTGATATTAAATTGAATTCCTTGTCAAATTAATGGGTTTCTAAATATTAGCATAACATAGCAAAATAAACAAAGGCAAGAAAGTGAAAATGAAAAATAAATCCGTCCTTGCTGAGAAGCAGCGACGTCGTTAAATAATTCAAAAAGATGCACGTGCCCCTAGCTGTTTGTTATCTTTACCTACACCGCCCTGCTATATTATATCCGACTGTTTTCTCACGTCCGGTTATTGCCGGCAGTTGCGGTGGGCCACGTATCTGCTTCACAAAGATATCAAAAAAGAAAGTAAGCGCGATAAATTTAGATAAGTGTCCGTGACCTCCGGACGCGCAATGCCGATGAATATGCACAATCTGAAATCTCTGTCAAATTTAGAATATTTTTAGAATTTCGATATAATTAATAAATCGATAGAATTCTAAATGTGTCGGGAAACTTGCTTGAGAGAAATTGGTCTGAAACGATACGTGGAAAAATATATAAATTCTTAGATGACACGGATAATTTTAAAATCAATTTAATATAATCGCAATATTGAATGTAAGATATGCTTCGTAAAATCTTTAAAATATCTTATTGTCCGACACATCGTGTAGAGATCGCTTCGGAGCATAATATCAATTTGCGCCAGTGGCTTGAGTCATGCGAGGCTGTTTAATTCGCGACATTAATTTCAACTAGCGTGCGTCTCGACATTTACAACCCTATCAAATACGGTCGCCGGATTCGAGCGGTTTTACGGTGCGAAAATGAATGACGATACGAGGAGATACGTGGAAATTCTAATCGAGTGCGATGTAAAAAAATAATCGCATGCACGGCAGGATGCAGGGCCATTTGATGGGTTCGCCTCGTAACGCTTAACTCGTTTACAAGCCTCGTCCAGCTGAGCACGTAATTAGATTTCGCGTAATTCCGCGGCGGTGAGCGCATTTTAGTGCACCACGGCGCTTTATTTAATCCCGCCGATGAAAACGTTCCTCCGCGAAAGACAAACGGCCATCTTCGGCCTGATAAATTATGCAAAAAACGAGTAAACTAATTGCAAAACAGCAGTTTTAGTGAGTTTAATTTAAAATGCAAAGTTTCGTGTTGCCGAGTCGGCTACGTAATTTATCTTGCCAACCCATGCACGTAATTTATTTTCTTAATTTTTGTGGATATAATTATTTCCGCACAACACATCGTCCAATTATACGTTGTTGGATCTTTATAATAATTCTACTAACTACGAAAAATTCTAAATTCTTGATAAAAATATATCCTCTCTTAATTGAATTGCATGTTTTACAAAGCGTAACATCGTTAGAGAATGTGAGATTCCGCGGTCTGACTTTCTGAGCCACCCGATATCTTCATGAAGCGAGCGCGGAAACGTAGTCTGCGAAGTGTAGAAATTTGTCCTCGTAACACTTAGCTCGCAAGTATAATCTTGCTTCTTCTAACATAACGTGCATTTCGACGTAATAATACGTTAGAAATATGTTTCGGCCCTCAACGAGAAGCGGATAAACCGCGGTTACGAAAGTTGAAACGCAATTATTTCGGTTTCCAGCGACATTTCTGGTTTCTGTCTACTTTCTGTTTACGTTTAGATATATACAGAGTGCCCGAAACTAACTGTATCACCTGTAGCTAGTACGTAGCAGATTTCTGTGATAAATGAATGATGTTTCTTATACGGTGAAGATATAAAAATCATATATGACGTGCTTAAACGCGCAAACATTTGACAGTCTGAAACTGATTAACTTTAAACACTTGTCATTTAAAATATTGTAGCTTCAAAATTTTTGTATGTAAATTGTCATTTTCCAATGATTTCAGAAATCTACTATTAATAAATGATACAGTTGCTCAGAGACAAACATTTTATATT